TAAAGACAAAAGTTTCTTGATTAACTTGATTCAGAATAAACTTCCAGTACTACAGATATTGAAGAAAAAAGACTCAGATATTTATATTATAATGACCTGTTCAATATATGAACTTTAAAAAGAAACATTAGAAAAGAAATCAGAGAAGATATATAGAGAAAAGCAAAAGAAAAGATCAACTACTATATTAGTAAAAAAATCAAGATAAAGAAAAAGTTTATTCGGCAACTAATAATAGGACAAGTAAATGTTTAAATGAGATTCAGTGATTTGATAGAAGTCTTTTCAATACTATTTATGGATATATGGAAAAGAACAAAACCATTTTCTTGAAGAATTATCTTAAAGTACAACTCAAAATTTCCTAACAGTCACATAAAGTATAATCGGTAAGCTTTATTATAAGATGAGAAAAAATTTCAAAAAAGATATATAGAATAGCTGTTACAAAAAAGTAATAGAATGAAAAAAGAAGCAGAATATTACTGAAAAGGACAAAAGAATCAAAAGACCTAGGCATAGATTCATTATACAGGTCATACAAGAATAGTAACTAAAGAAAGTAAAAAAGATCTCACAAAACTTTGGAGAAAGAGATGAAAAATGGATGTCAAAATATATTAAATCTAAACCTAATAGAGACAAAAGAAAGAAAACTTGATTAGCTACTCAGACAGAAAGCTAGCAACCAATGATAGGAAAACTAATTCGAGAAACTAGCCAAGGTATAGTTATGATCTGTCACTTTAATCAACAATAAATAAAAATTGATCTAAATACAGAAATTAATGCAATATAGAAGTAGAATCAGATATGATCTATACTATACTATTTCTAAACTATCAAAAAAATACTAAGAAAACACAATTGTTGAAGATTCCATGTCACCTACTTGAGCTTAATAGGATAATAATAACAAATATAGTTTCAAAAATCCAAGATCAAATAAATAATCAAATTGAAAAATGGAATATGTACCAATAGAAGACTGGAAACAAGAAATAATTAAAGATAATGTTAAACAAGGAGTATATCAAGATCCCTACTCAAAATTTTTCAATGTAATCAAGAATTACAGAAGAAGCTAACCTTCTACTCAAATAGATCCTTGATTGATCATGAAAATAAAAATGCAAGAATAGAAGTAGCATAGATTCAAACCAAAAAAGCTAGAAAAGAAAGTAAATTTTAAACAGGAATTAAAAACTAATTCTCATCTACAAGAGCAGAATTGGTGGCACTAGTTATAATAGTTTTAGTAATTTCAATAAACAGTATAGTAAAAATCTTTACTGATAGTCAAGTTTGCATCGCCGAATAAAAAAAAACTTGAAAAAGAAGATTCTAAGATGACGTACAAAAGATGGTTAAAAAAAAAGAACTGGTCATTATGGATAAGAATGCTAAATCTCATAAAGAAAAAGTATATTCAACTGATTTTAACTAAAGTTAAAGCTCGCTCTAATAATTCATGAAATAAAGAAGTAGATTGATTGACCAAAGAAGCATTAAAGCTCCTAGCAATAGAGTGGAATAGCCTCAAATCAAACAAGATATCTATAGTAATATTGTGACAAAAAGATGTGATAAATAGTTTATTAAACAAATCAATAAGAGATCAACTGTCTTGTTATAGACACAGCAATATAGAAAGAAACAAAATGGTACTATCAAGTCAAAGGATATTAAACCTATTCATGAGACCTGATATGGGATAGGTTAAAGGATAGCAGTATATAAGATATCTCTTTCATAGGTTGTCAAAGAAGAAGTTTTCTAATAAAATTGATTAAGGATGAACTACCTACCTTAAGCAAGCTAGTAATAAGAAAACCTGACTTATATAAGTAAGCAAACTGTATAGCATGCAATCAGAAAAAGAAGATAATCGAATATTTACTAAAATGTTCTAGTTATAAAAATAAGATTCTAGCAATATAGAAAAAAGAATCTGAAACATTTTTTAAAAAATTCAATAAGTTGTACCGAGATAGAAAAAGGGAAGCAGATAAAAAGGAGATACAACTATTAATCGATAATAAAAGTAAAAAAAATGAAATAAATAGATGGACCTCCAAACTTATAGAAGTAACCTTGCAAACCAATTCAAGCACACTTAGCTTTTGTGCAGGGTTAATAAAAAATAATATAATCAAAGAAGCCACTAACATAAATTGTCATGATAAGAAGATAGAAACAATGGCAAAAAATTAAATTTTAAGAGTACAAAAAAAAGTCTGCAACTAGATCTATAAACAAAATTGAAACATAAGATATAAAAAGATCATTGAATAGAAACAAGTATAAAGAATTAATAGAAGAGTGAAATACAAGAAGACCCAAAAAGTAAAAAGACAAGATACTTTGCAAGAAGATTCTAACTATGAAATTACAAGATAAAGAGAAGATAAAAGAGAAAGTAAAAACAAAAATCTTGTAAAAATGATAAGAAATAGGATTAAGTATAGAATAAAATGTTTGGGTTTTAATCCTTATCAGAACCTCAGAAAGTAATCTGCAATATTAATCTGCAGGTAATAAAGTTAGAAGTTGGAAGAATTTTTATCCAAACTGATAATGGAGTGGTAAATTACTCCCAAAGTTGCACTTAAAGTTTTGAATAAAAATTTTGACAAGTTAGTTAGATATTTAGCTTTAGCGTCACATATATAATATATAGCTTATAACTGTTTAATAAAGTACACATAACTAGCCTGATAGTGGGTTAAAAAAAATTTTTTTTTAATATCTTTTAAATATCCCAATAAAGATATGCCATTGTAAATAAAAATATATATATATATATATTTTTATTAAAAGATTAAAAAATCCATTTTTATTGATTTTTTAACTATATATAAAAAAAATATTTGCAAAAAGTTTTTATATTTTTTAATTAATAAAGTTTTTATATTTTTTTTAAAATAACTTGAGCTTGTCTTCAAGAGTAACTATTATCTTTTTCTACTTGTTTACAGATTTCTTTGAATAAAAACTTGAATCTTTGATAGTCTAAATAGACTCAAATTATATTTTCTCTATTAAAAATAAGAAGATTTTAGAAAATAAAAGATTCAATTTATGAAATATTATTTTTCAAAATTAGAAGTAACATGAAAATAGAAATTTTTATTGATAAAGGAAGACATATTGTCTATTTTTTTATATATTGTTTCCATTTCTTTTAAAGTATTTACTATTTTTTACAATTTTTTAAAAAAATTTTATCTACTTCAGTATAATTTTAAATTTTTATAATATACTATTAACTAATATTTAATTGGTTGATATAAATCACATTGAAAGCAAGATGTAAACAAGTTTTTATTAGCCATATTTATATATTTTCATTATATTATTGATAAAGAAAAAAGAAATAATTGTTAAAAATCTTTTACCTTTTCAAATAAGATGTAACTAAAATAAAAAAATAATGAAACTATTAGGACAAAAATTAAATTCTCTAAATAATGAAAAGATTGTTATTTATTCAAGCTAAATCTTTAACTTCTTATTATTCTAGTTAAACAAAATATATTAAGAAGATTATTTCTTTATCCTAGTCAAGTTATAAAACCAAAAAGTAAAAAATTATGAATTATTGTTCTTCCTTAGAATTGAAAATGCATTTTTTCAGATATTATATAATAATATTATAATTAATGTGAATTCCCATTATTCTTAAGACTTTTCTATCATTATAAGGTAAAAGGATTATTGGAAGAATCTGACTTTTTAGATAATAAAAAATGTTTATTAGTAAAATTTCTTTAATTAGATATGGCTACTAAAAACATAGAAAGTTATATAATATGACTACAAGGTCATATAAGAATTTAAGATTTATTATAAGTTGTTTGATCATATAAATGAACAAAAAATTAATATCAAAAGAAAAAAAGTATCAAGTAAGATGTTAAATTTGAGTAGATAATAAGTATCTCAAATAGTTACAAGAAAATAATCAAGATCATGGATAGATAAGTTTCTTAAACAGTTAGAAAGAAAAAGAATATCCTAAAAAAATTGTTTTTTAATAAGAGAAGGTTTAGAGTAGAGATTTTTTGAAAAACATGAAATACTTTTATTTATTTGTTTTTTTTTTCTTTTCATGCATACATATTTTTTAGATATCTCTTTTTTCTTATTTTTTCTTTTCCTTCTTGTGATTTCTCAAAATCAGTTACTTGAAAAATAATAAATAGTAACAACCTGCTGACAATGATATATAAGTAAGAAGGGTCTTTATCCAAATCTTATTACAAAGTGAAATATTATTCCCAAGATTGCACTTAAAGGCTAAAGCTCATTTGAAAATTGAAAGCTGTTGATGAGTAAGTCAACATGAGATTTAGTTTAGCCATGATATAGTTGTTCAATATATCTCTATTGGTTTTCTTAAAGATTAATAAACACACTATGTTGGCCTAACCATGGGTTTAAAAAAATAAAATTAAAAAAATTAACTTATTACATACTACACATACATATGGTCTTGATATTTTTTTTAAACTTCGAAATCTCTACAAAAAAAAAAAAAAGGATAGAAAAAAACATACTTTTTTTTAAAGATTTAATAGAAAGAAGTTTAAATAAATAATATTTAAGGATAATAGATTATTTATATATTTTTTAGAATAGGTATAAATTCCAAACAAAAATGCAATAAATAATATTATGTATTGCAATTAATTTTTACGATCAAACGATCTGAACACGAACATGAAAAAATTTAAACGATGAGGAACGAAATGCGTTAACTCTGTTTGCCCGCGTTAACAATGCGCAAAAGAAATTTGTTCGTTTTATGTACGTACAGAAGTGTCGGATTACAGATAATGGTACTTGCAACCGGAACTTTTATTATTAGAAATAGAGCTATTAAAAAGACGATTTATTATATACTTTTATTATATTACATAATTTTTTTTTAAAAAAATATCCGTGTAAGATTTTTGGTACAGCAGTTTTATAGGATAAAATAGAAATTTTCCTGTTTATTAGACAATAAGCAATGATGCAAAGTTCTCATTATCGAAAGTAGCAGCAGCCTCAGCAGCGTTGAGAGCCTCAACTTCTAGGGAATTAACATTAGCGGCTTCCGTGGTGGCAATGTTTTCGTTAGCGACTTGGAAAGACACGAATGGTTGGGCGATGCCATTGTTTAGGAAGTTACGTTTGCTTTCATCACGCTTAAGAATCAAGAGTGTTGCAGCATTCTCATTATCGAAGGTGGCAGCAGCTTCGCAAGCGTTAAGGGTTTCAACTCCTAGAGAATTTACATTAGCAGCTTCCGTGGTAGCAATATTTTCGTTGGCCGCCTCGAAAGTCACGAAGGGTTGGAAGCCGCCGCCCATGCCGCCCGCGCCCAAGAAGTTACGTTTGTTCTCGTCACGTTTGAGAATTAAAACTGATTCGATGTTCTCATTATCGAAGGTTGCGGCAGCCTCGGCAGCGTTAAGAGCTTCGATTCCTAACGAATTGACATTAGCGGCTTCCGTGGTAGCAATATTTTCGTTGGCGGTTTGGAAGGTCACCAAAGGTTGCTGAAAGCCATTGTTTAAGAAGTTACGTTTGTTCTCGTCACGTTTGACAATCAAAGCTGTTACAGCGTTCTCATTATCGAAGGTGGCAGCAGCTTCGCAAGCGTTAAGGGCTTCAATTCCTAGAGAATTTACATTAGCAGCTTCAGTGGTAGCAATATTTTCGTTAGCCGTCTCGAAAGCCACGAAGGGTTGGAAGCCGCCGCCCATGCCGCCCGCGCCCAAGAAGTTACGTTTGTCCTCGTTACGCTTGAGAATCAATAATGATGCAAGATTCTCATTATCAAAGGTAGCAGCAGCCTCAGCAGCGTTAAGGGTTTCGATGCCTAAGGAATTAACATTGGCGGCTTCTGTGGTGGCAATGTTTTGGTTTGCTTCCTGAAAAGTCACAAAGGGTTGTGGATAACCATAATTTAGGAAGTTTCGTTTGTCTACTGGCGCGGCAAATATGCCTGAAGAAATGGTGACGAGGACTAGCAATAAAGTGACAAGAGGTTTTTGGTTCTGAGTGGAAATTGATGACATTTTAAGAAGTAAGGGCAAATTAATTGAAAGTTTTTTTTTTTTTTTTTTTTTTTTTTTTTTTTCAATACGAAACTCTAGGTTGTAATTTTTTCTTAAAAGGTGTGTTTAAAGTTGCGAAAAACGTATGTTACTTAAATAGGCAAAATTTTTTTGTAGTGCATTATTTCTTTCTTGCGACTTTACATAAATCATCGATGCTTTGTTACTACAATTAACAAAATAGCAATCAATAATGCTTATTTCTTTTATGCAACTCGCGTCTTTACTTTCATTTATATAAAAATTTGATTTTTTTTAATCTGGACTTGAAAAATCATTAAAAGTCCGAAATTAGGAACGTCCCGTTTTAAGCGTTCTTAACAAAAATAAAGGCATATTAACATTTTGGTGCAAGGCATTTATTATCAAAGTCGAAGCATGATCGAAACCATTATCAACAAAAATAAGAATTACCAAGATTAAATATCACTTATATATTGATTAATCCGAATCATGCCAGGTGCTAAAAATGATTACATATTGCATTATCAGTCATGCTTTGAATTAAAAAGTAGATATTGATTAAAGTTATTTAATTTAACAAAACCGACCACTCGACTTTCTTCGAGGGTCCTTTCTCAACAGGGCATATATTCTATTAAATCCACAATCTAATCCATTCATTCTTAACAAATTTCGTATTTATGTGAGTTCGGAGGTGAATTCACAGGTTTACGCACGGACTTAAATTCAAGTTTTTGACAACACTGTTTTGCAATAAATGTATTTATTCTTTTTTACGAATATTGCGGAGCCATTCACGTTCAATTTTGCTAGCATTGAAATCGAACCTTGATTATTATTGATTGTACATGTCGCGAGTTTTATTTTATTTTTATTTCGAAAATGTTCAATTTAGGACAGGTGATTTTACTTTCATTTGTTATTTTGCATAAAGCTTTTCTTATCTGACAAATAAGGAAATTTCCGATATCATGAAGATGGAGAGATTCAATTCTCTAGCTTCAAGATAATTATCCATATACAAATAACGGACATTTATTCAATCATTCTCCGCAGAAATAATTCAGTCCCAGATGCATAGTCGCGTGTATGTGTACTCAAGAAGTCCAAATTTATGGTAAGGTCATTATTAATATTTTTATTTACTAATTATTTCTATATGATTGTATCTTCGGCATCATAGTTTTCGTTTATAAGTCTGTACAAGTATGAAGGAGGATGCCCTCCACTAACATAAAATATAGAACAATACTTAGCAATAAAAATTATTTCAAATTTCACGTGATATTAGAGAACTTACGTATTTGTAATGAAGAGGTTGACTAGTTCGGGTGAAACATAGTCGTAGTAGGGATTTAGTAAAGTCACCTTATCTATCAGTTCGCCTTAATACGTTTTATGGAAAAACTCCATTTAGTTCAAGGAACATTTCTATTTTTATATGATTTAACATTTCTATTATCGATGACTTAAAATTACCTTCTTCAAAACTTAATACTGAATCGGGTGCGATGAGGTCATTAAATGAATCTTCATCATATGGATATAGCGGTGACAGCTTGTATAATCCGGTGCACACTACAACGGGTGTAGAATGATGCTTCGCTGCTGTAGCCACCATTTGAGTACCACTTACGGAAATCAAACCCCCATTCGCAAGTACTTGAAAAATCAAAGATTATATTTTTCTGAAAATTTTTTTAAATCAATATTATAATGTCGTATAAATATAAATTACCCGCGTGGGTTCCCATTATCACTTTATTCACTCTTGACATGACGGCGAAAATCGCCGAATCAGAAATTACTGTCGTGTCAATACCGGATTGCGAAAGAGATAAGGCCATTTCATGGCCCAAATACCTGGTTAATTATGTCACACATAAGACCCTATTTTCAAGTTTATATGCTAATACAAGAGAATATATTTCTACCTACGTTGGTGATGTCTCCGCAACTACTACAGAAAATTTCCTTTTCTTTGCCGCAGTCTTTAAGAAAACTTCCACGGTACGAGATTTACCCACTGTCATAATAATCTCGCTATTATCATAAAGTAGTATTATCAATTTTGTTTAAACTCGCGAACGGTAATAAAACACCACTTACTTTGAATGAATATGCTCCATTGCTTGATCAGCAATATTAGGATACATATTTTCTAATTCATTAATCATCTCCTGAATTTCTGATATGATTATAGGCTTAAGATGTGCATTAATATAGTCAAGGATAATATGGTTTTAAATATTAAACGTATTAATACGCAAAAATCGTCAGAAGGATATTAAAATTTCTTCGATTGTAATCTGTTGACGAACTTTTGGCATCCAACAAGTTAATCATTGAGGAAGAAGAAGAAAATGAATTGGTGCCAACAAAAGAGCCACCTAATCCGCCTTGAAGGACATGTGTCCTTATAGACTTGCCCTTTACTTCTTCTTCTTCTTCTTCTTCTTCTTCTTCCTCCCCTAATGAAGAGGACGATTTATTAGGGTTACCACTACTACTACTATTGCCATTACCATTACCATTGTCCGTCGTGGAGACTTTTTGGAAAGCCGTTGTCGTACCGACCTCGGAGTTATACACATCGCGTATCAATCGCAATACGCGGCGAACGATATTTCCTACTGCAAGTTCTATTACGTAAAGCACATTTAAGGTTAAATAAACTTGGTGAACTTTTCAAGAGGTTTGGTGAGATCAGAATATACCTCTCGGCTGGGCGAGAACCAAGCTCCTTCCAACATCCTTAACTAGTTTGATTAAGGTGCCAACTTGATTCCATCGAGTAGTGGAAACTACTTGTCGAAGAAGCAAAGCCGTCTCAAGGGAAACAGACCACGAGCCTACAACTTGCCTTCACATTTAAAGAGCAAGTCAGATATCGATTGAACATAAATATAGGCATGCAATAGAATGGTACGTTCAGTTTTAAGTACCGTCGACGAAGGCGATTAATTAAACTTTCTATCTGAGAATTCAGATCTCGCGGGCCTGTCATAGAAAAAAAAGTTTTTTTTTTGATTTACGTACAATACGTTGATAATTAGATCTTATTGATTAAAAGTTTTAGGTTCACTATATTGATATCTATCAAAATAGTTTGTTATATATTTTTTTTCGAAATACTCGTAGCCAGGCTAAATTGTAAAAAATATAAGTATATATTTATTCGAGTAGTATAATACATATTACATCTATTAAATCTAATTAACTTATTATTAATAAAGACTTTGGATAAAGATCCTTCTAATCTAAATATTATTGCCGACAAGTTGTTACTATCAATTATCCTATCAAGCTATTAAATATAGGAAATTACAAAAAGTTGAATTAAAAATAAAGAAAAAAGAGTATTTAAAAATATATAAGTACAAAATAAAGTAAAATAAGAAAAAATAATCAATTTTATCTAAAAACTCTTATTTTAAAATCTTTTCTTAATAATATTTATTTGATTGAAATATTTTTTCTTTTTAATTATTTGAAAAATTTATTTATTTTTGATTTTGATTTTTCTTATATACTATCTGAAATATTTATTATTTCATAAAAGATTTTATACTAGAAATATACCTAGTTCTAACTTACTTTGAACAATGATTTTTTATTAGTCTGTGATAAATACAAGTAACTTATAATAAATATTGGATTCTTATATAATTTAATAGAAATTGAATCATATTATATTAATATAATATTTTTTAGTAATTATATCTAATTAAAGGAATTTTATTAATTTTTTTTTTATATCCTCTATTAGATTAGATATATGTACTTTATTAAACATATGTATACTTTATATTAGAGAATGTATCACTAAAGTTAAGTCTCTACCTAACTCACTCGTCTCTATTTTAAGAATTATTAAAACTCTAAGTGCAACTTCAAAAGTGATTTATCGCTCCGTTAGTAGTTCAGGTAAAAGACCCTTCTAACTGTTAACTTCATTGCCTGCAGGTCACTACTGCAGATCACTCTGTGAGGTTCTGACAGAGCTTAAAACCCAACCA